GGGACAAGGGCCATGAAAGAAATAAACCCAGGCTTCAATGGGGGCAGAGAGAAGCAGCCCCAAATACAGGTAGGGCGAGGAGATGAAGTCCACAGGGACTTTCTGGAGGAGGTGACACGGAGCTGCTTTCAAAGAAGAAGCAGGAATTGTGCGTCATCCAGTCAAAGAATGGAGCAGGCAGATCACGCAAAGTCCTGGAGACTCTCCTAGCAGCTTGCTGTGGTTGATGTCTAAGATGCAAGTGAGAGGGAGAGGGTGGGCAGACAGGAGGAGTGGTGAACAGGGCCCCACGGTGAGTGCACCACGCTGGGGTGGTCGGCCCACATTTTACAGGAAAACCCAATGAAGGGACTGAGCTGATCAGATTTCAGTTTCAGAAAAGGTCTTCTGGCAGCTGAATGAAAAAATAAATAGGAAGGGTGTTATAAATAGAGAATGAACAAACCAAAATCATTAAAATTTGCCACCTTTTCTGATTAGGGTTTATATATGAATCTTGAAGAAAAAGATACAAGGTGAAGCTTTCTTGAAAAAAAAATTACTGTAAAACTCCCACTGGATTGTTTTAGGGAAGTACTCTTTAAAAATTGAAAAACTGAATTTGAAATTGAAAAAGTAAAGGTTTGCTCCAAATATATATCTTTGGATATATATATTTTATTGCTCGAGTCTCTAAACAAATCAGTTCTGATGGGCTTTTTTTGGGTGATGATATTTGATGAGCTCTGCTGTGCCCCACCTTCCAGCTGAAAGGATAGTACTTTGGAGGGATAAGAACCCAGCTTCTGGAGTCAGAGAAATTTGGATTTAAATTCTAGCTGTGGCCCCAGTTAGCTGAGTGACCTTGAGAAATTTACTTAACCTCTCTGTGCCCCAGATTATGCATCTGTAAAGTAGGATGAAAATAGCATCTCCTTCCCAGGGTTACATGATGGTGTACATGTAAATAACACGTGCATACATGTAAAGAGCCTGGCGCTCAAAAATGACAGAAGGAACCAAAGGGCAAATAACTAAAAACAAATGGCTCAGAAAGGAAAAGTGATGATCTACTAGGTGACCCCTAGTTCTATTTTATTCCACTCTGGTGTGATCTAGCAACTTTTATTTTTTAACAAAAAGGGAAAGAAACTCATCGTCATTGTGTGGGTCAGTCTTTCCAGCCAGTCATTATAACCTCTGTGCAGGAGCACTGCATTAACCTGATAATTTCTGCTCGGAGCTCCTGAGCCAAAACCCAGGCGCAAAATGACCGTGTCTGTTCCTGCAACTCTCATGCTCTGGTGCAGGCAGAGGAGAATTTAGCTCCTTCACTTAAGATATCTACGGTAACCCATCAGCTGCTGAGCTGAAGGATGTGTCTGCGCTCCCCTTTCCCCTTTAATGTGCCATTAAATCAAATACTCTATTAGCAGAATTAGTTCATTCAGTGTCTGCACTGAAATGTCCTGCGAATTGCGTGATGTCTCTCGCAAATGGCCCTGCACTCTGGGGTCTACTTCAGCAGTTTATATCCCGAGGAGGAGGGCCACGCTGCCCAAGGATCTGCCTGCCTTCCTCTAAGTAAAATATTATGGCTTCCACAAAGGATAATTATTTCGATCATTTTGCCATGTGCAAACCTGGTGAATTCAAACACTGTCGATCTGGCTCTGGCCCAAGGCCTGCTGTCCTCACACCTGCAGCCCAGGATCTGCCTTGGCCACGGACTTGCCACTCTCTCGGCCTCTCTGCTCTGCGTGGGTCCACTCCAGGTGCTGGTGCCAAAACGTATGCTTTTGCTGAGAGTTAAAACATGGAGAAATTTTCTTCCTCAAAGAACTTGGGCTGGAACGCAGAACATCTTCACTTTTGTATTCTCCAGCAAGAGCTGTGGGTTGAAACTTAGCACCCTTATTTCCATTCCCTCTTATTTACACTTGTCACCCAATAAATGTGAAAGCAGGCAATGACAGCTGCTGTGCCTCCGTCATCACACGCTCGTGCTCTGAAGATGAGCGGGGTCTCAAGCACACGATGCCACTGACATTCACCTTGAGTATGTTGAGCGTTGGTGTGACTCTTCACGTGCCACGGCTCTAGACAGCTGCTGTGGCCACTGTGGCTGCTTTTCCTTTATGCTGAGCTGATGCACTTAGCTAATGTGCATTTAATCTGTTATCTTTTCCTAAAGTAGAAAGTCAGTGTGTTAGGGAAGCATTTGCTCCTGTAACAGACAAGCCTTAGACTGGTGTGTTGGCAAATGTTTAACCTTTTCCGGGGCGGGGGAAAGCCTGGTTTGTAGTATTTGCCAATTTCTACAGTGTAAGTACTGCTACTGTGGCTGATTTCAAGACACAATGTGACATCATTAAATGCAGAGTTGGGAAGAGATATTTGTAACCCTCCCATTACACAGTATTTCCACAAAAATAACCTCAAGAAAAGTACATAATAAATATGGTAAAATTATTAGGTTGGGATGAGTTTTGAATATTATTACCTTTAAAAAATATAATGTGTTTGTTAGTTTATGAGACTTAACTCTTAATCATGGCTGTATTTAACAACTGACTTGCAAAATTCTTCCAAATTTAATCATTGGTTTTCACAAGTCAGAATAAGCCAGCTCCAGCACATCACTGAGTTTAAGAGTATAAAATGACATTTCTTATTTACAACCCAGTCCAATGTGGATGTCTGTAGTGGCTCTCCACACGGTGAGTCAGGAACCTGGGGTCTTCCATATTGACTCTCTATTACCCCCCTGGGGACCTCAGAGCCCTCTCACTTCCAACCAGGCGTTGGGGAAAGAGCACACAGGATCTCACATGGGTGGTTTTCATGGGCCAGACTTGGAAATTGTATCTATCACTTTCATCCATGTTCCGTTGGCTGGAATTGTCACATGGTCACACCTAACTTCAAGAGAGACTGGGAAATATAATTGAGCTGTGTGCCCAAGAGGAAAGGAAACGGGGTTGGTGGGCAGGTAGCCAGTTTCTGCCACAGCACGAAGAGTGACTCCTGCCCTGGCTGCCGTCAGGAAGCAGGTAGACTAAGGGAAAAGAGCAACTGGCCCTGTTTTCCTTTCCTTATAAAGCATTCAAGAGTTTAACAGGCATAGACAGTGAAATGGATTGTTATGAAATTGGCAATTAATAAATAGAATTATGCCCGTGTAAGAACCAGGTTGTATGTTATTCAACCGTCACTGTGACTCAACAGGGATGCCAGCTGGGCCAGGATGCTGTGGCAGGTGTGGGAGCTGGTTTTTCTAAGCACAATGGTCCATCTGTCCATTGGTCTGTCCATCCATCCATCCATCCACCCATCCAATAAGCCTTTATTCAGGCCCTGTGTTAGCTCTGGATATACAGAGGTGCTTAGGGGTGTGCTTATAGCCCAGTGAGGAAGGGAGAATCACACAAGCCCAGGTTAAGATATGTGTGTAGCTGAGGAGAAAGAAGCTAAAAATCTGGTAAGTGAAAACCCTCCTGAGGAGGCGACATCTGATGTGGATCTAGAGAGAAGCATGGGTAGAGTTTTCTAGGCATAGGAGGGGGAAGTGCATTCTAGACAAGGGGAACAGTTGGTACAAAGACCCAGAGGAGTGGGAGAGCAGGGCTTGTTCCAGAAATGGCAAGAAACTCAGGGTGGCAAGAGATGGGGCTGAAAAGATGAGTTTGCAATAAATTGTGAAGACCTTTATACGGAGTACGCAGGAGTTTGGAATTTGCCTGTAGGACTATGCTTCTCAAAATGGGGCCATGTACCTCTAGGGGTACCCAGTGGTATGTCAGGACGTATGCAAATGTGGATGAAAATTTTCTTTGTTTGCTCTGTTGATGGTAAGCAATTAAAAATGATTTTTTGAGAAGTCCTGGCAAAAGTATCTCTCCATCTCAGTGGGCCAGTGCCTAGTCCTGGACCAATCCTGTGGTCAGTGGAATGCAATGCTCTGATTGGCTGGGGCTGAGTCACATGGTGTGCCCTTGAGCCTGGGGTGAGTGGTGCTACCCGAAGCTCAAGGGCTGAGAGAAGAGAAGCAGTGACGCCACAGAGGAAAATTCAGACGGGGACAGAAGAGGAGGGAGTGGCTGCCAGGAAGCCCACCAGCAGCTGACCTATACAGGTGGAAAACAGTAACTGGACGACTGTCCCTAGAACTGTCATTTGTAATAGAGAGTGAAACAGGTTTGATAGAGGGAAAAATCATTTTCTTTCAGTTTTCAGTTCGTGAAATAATGGGAGAACCAAAAGAATCAAGAGCTGCTTTTCTGAGATAGAACCAGGTGGGAAGCTGGGGAACACACCCCTTTATCTCCAGCCTTTGAAATCTAAACCAAGGCCCCATCCTGCTTCCTCTCAGGCTCCTGGCCTGGGAGGCTCCTCAGCAAAGCCAGTGGTGTCATTGTGGTCACCGCAATTATGCCAAATCATGAACCCACAAGGCCAGAGCCAGGAAGGCCCTGCCCCAAAGCAGATAAGCCAGGCTGGTAAGCGAACACCCCACACCTCACATCCTGCTTAGCAAATGGCTGCACGGAACCACAGAGCCTGAGGCAGACCCTGCAGGGCTGCTCGTGGGAAAGGACCCACAGCCAAGCAAAGGTCACTGTCTACAGGCCCTGAGCCCCACCAGAGATGTGCTATTTATGAAGCCTCTGCATGGGGGGTGTGGTAGGAGAAGTAAGACCCTGAAATCAGACAGGCCGAGTTGGTGTTGCACTCTTATCCCCTGTGGGTCCAAAGAGAGGGGACTTTACCCCTGAAACTCGTTCCCTCACACGTACGCGGGATGACACTGGCTGCCCTTCAGGGTGGCAGAGTTTCAACGAGATAGCCCAAGTAAGCACCTGGCACGGGGGTGACCCAGAACAGGTGCTCAGGAAATGCCAGTCTGCTCCATGATAAAGTGGGCGCTTAGGAGGAATCACTGTGGATGCCTAGAGCTTTCTCGAACACGATGTCATTTCATTTTCAGCACCGTGGGAGGCGAGTCTCATTGTTATTCTCACTTTACAGGTAAGGAACAGCGGCTCACAGAGGTCAAGCCATTATCCAGGGTGACACAGCTGGAAAGCGGAGAGCTGGACTTGACCCCAGGCAGCTGGGGTCTAAGGAGGCCAAGAGAGAAGGGCTTCCCCATGACGGTGGACGCAGCTGGAGATGATGCCTGGAAAGGGGCCTGGGTCTCCTGCCCTGCCCAGCGTTCAATGCCATCGGCCGCTGCTTCTCAGCGAGTAGAACTGACCGCAAATCAGGCTGGCAGCTTGGAGCCGTCCCAGCTGAGTGGAGCACAGGAGGTAAAGCGAGGGTATGAACGGTGCAGGGCACCCATAAAAAATTTACGGCCACCATCTAATTTTAGAGCCTTCATTTTTCAATAGAAAAACACTACTGTTTGTGCCACCAAACTGTGAAACAAACAGAATAATTGCCCTCAGAAAGGGTCCTCCTTAAGTATGATGCTGTAAAAATGGCCAGTGGGGAAAACCTCCTTAGGGTTAAAGTACCTCATGACCTACCTTGCCTCTCATTTTAGATCAGAAACCCTACTGGAAATTTTGCAGGCTGGGCTAGGAGAATTCTGGAGAATTGTAGTGAAGGCATTGACTACAAGGTTTCTTGTATATTTGCGGCTGGGTGGGGAGCCTTGGAGACGCCACCGGAAATACCAGATTTGACATAACGCCGGTATTCAGCAGCCCTCACACGAGAGGAAACCAAGGTGGCAGCAAAGGACGGCAAACCCGCCGTCAAGAACCAGATTGGCAGTTTCTTGCCATTGTAATGATAGATTGTTACACAGGCTGAACTAACCATTGTAATAATAATAACAGTTAACATTTATGCAGCATGTACTATGCTCCAGTAACATATTTTGATAAGGTCACAATGTCTCTTTATCATGACATTGTCAGTAGTGTATCTATAATAGCAGCAATACTCGCTAACATGTATTGACTCATTACTGTGGTTACTTTAACCCCACGATCATATTAATCTTCAAAACTTCAAAACAATGCTTTGATGCTTTTATTATTCCCATTGTACAGATAATAAAACTGGCTGACATAGTTAGTAAATGGCTGAGCTGGATTGTAAGCTAAGATGTGTCTGAATCCCAAGCTGGAGGTCCTACCCACAGCAGATGCTGCCTCCCAGAGAAACCCCAGAGCGATGCCCAGTCTTTTTATTTTTTGGAAGCACTTACCATTCTAAAAGCATGTCTTCCTGCGTGTGTGTGTGTGTGTGTGTGTGTGTGTGTGTGTGTGTGTGAGAGAGAGAGAGAGAGAGAGAGAGAGAGAGAGAGAGAGGGAGAGTTGTACATGCATGTGTGTTTTGTTTTCTTTTTTTTAAAAATTTATCAGATTCCAAGCCCATAACTGCTTATTTGCGTGGTATGTTGGTATCAAAGGTAGGTCTAATGTCTTCTCCATACCCTTAGTTTCATTCCCACTCTAGGAAGTAGCTTAACTTGTCAGATGTTGCTGTGGTGTCCTGGGACCTCAGCTTCTCTCTCCCCTTCATCTGGGAACCCACCTAAAGCTGGAGCTACAGTGTGAAGCTTCAATGGCCTTGAGAAGTTCAGTGGGGAGAGGTGGGATTCTGGGACTAGTAAAGCTGGTTTTAGCTTTAAGCAAAGGAAATGGAAGGAGGGATGGAAAAGACAGGGGACCCAGGTTGAGATAAGAGGACTGCTCAGAGACAGCAAGACCAGGAAGGCACCACGGCTGCTGTGCACAAGGACGAACGGGCTGCTCTCTCCTTTGGACCTGGCAAGATACAGGCTTTGCTCTAGCCTACAATGACCATATGGCTGATCAGTCAAAATCAGATACTGAGTGAAGGTGGGAGGGTGCTATTAATAATAGGTAGAACAGAAGAGATCAACCAGACTGTCTTGGGCGTACAGGATGCCTGTCTCTCTGCTGTGCTCCCTTCCTTGCAAACTGATGTGAGAAGAACAATGAATTACAAGTGAGTTTCAATTGGAAACTCTGTCATGCCTCGGCATATCAGGGGAGCCCTGTTACTAAAGGTGTGAAGTTGTGGGGTGCAGCCAGGAGAAACCCGGCAATAGACAGTGGGCACTTAACTGTTGGTTGCCTTTTTTCAAAAAATCTTTTAAGGTTAGATGCCTTATCTCAATCCTGGATCATTTCTTCTACATTTACCAAGTTTTGCAGATTTGCTTCCTGGAATCTATAAAGCTTTTGTGAAATTCTTCCTTTAGTGAAGTGAGGGATAATTAGCTGCCCTGCTATATACAGCTGCGGCCTGCCATCCTGGTGAGGTGCCCTGCCCATGTATATCTGTGGACACACACAGACATACATAGATACTATTTAGTTACACTGGAATTATTTCCTTGCCTGCATAACACTAATTGTAAAAATGTGTTTATAGTATTGGATAACTAGGACTTCCTTATTTCTGCCTAAAAACCTGAAGTTTCTGTTTCTATATATTTTTTAAAATTCATTTTTAAATTTGAAAATTAATACATGAATACAATATCATTATAAAAGATTCAAACGATATAGTACGGACATAGGGGAAAATGTGAAAAATTCCCTTTTACATGACCCAAACTCCAAAAGGCTCTCATTCTCACCCACCCCACCCAATCCCCCTGCAAGACAATGGTTTGGTGTTTATCAGTGCCCTCCTTTTGTAATTATCAACTCCTATATGTAATTATCAACTTAATGTGCAAAGAAAATCTAAGAAAAATCTTTTTTGAAAGTGCCTCCTTTCATACAAGTTTTATATTCTAGGAAGAGAAAACTCTGCTTAGTGTCACCCGGGTTCACTGCAAAATTGCTTCTCTGAACCCTGGACAACTTTTACCCCCAAGCAGTGATTGAACCTGGTCTTTGAATTGCTAATGTCGTCTCTGGGGTCGGCTGGGGAATAAAGGAAAGAGCCTGGGCTTTGGCATCTGACCTGGGTTTGAATCCCAATGTGATCACCATTCAGCTGTGACCTTGGGAAGATTGCGTAGTGTTCATCCCTTCCCAGGGGTCAAGGACCAGGACTCTGGAGGCCCGCTGCCTGGGCTCAAATCCCCGCTTCCCCACTTACTCAGTGAGTAGCTTTCAAAAAGCCATTTGACCTCTCAGTGCCTTAGTTTCCCCATCTGTGAAATGGGGAAAAGGATAGTATCCACCTCTCAGGGTTGCTGTGAGAACTAAGGAAGTTAATTTAGTACCTGGCATACACACAGTGAGTATTCAATAAACACCAGCTGCTTTTTATTACACTCCCATACATACAGAATTCAGTTATGTGAACCTACACAGAGGTAATAAATATCCTGCCTTGTGGAACACAGATGAGTACAATCAAATTATTACAAAGCTAAAAGGAGAGCACAACCTTAAAAATTCCGGCAGAAATTTTCATCACCAGGGCCTGCACAAAATTCTCTTTGGACTCAAAACACAGAACCCTCAATCCCACATTCTGTCTCACCCTCCAGCCCTTCAACTTGTTCTTTAAACTTCAGAGTCACCCTCACACCTCGCTCTTTCCTTCTAGTCTCACTGCCGACCCCCACCTCCTTCCCAGGCCAAGGCCACCTGACCCCACACCCCTGCTACGTACTACCTTTCCGTGTGTTCTACGCCCAGCAGTCGGGTCAGGTCTCAAATTGATGCTTGGAACATGTAACACCCATGAAGGAAACTTTACCTTAACCAGTTCCCTTGTTGATTACAGTGACATTCAAAATTCTTTGTCAAGGTTATCTCCAAGCCTTTCCTCAAGCTGGTCTTCTCTCCCTGCTGTCTAAACATGTCTTCCATAATCAATAAGCCAACACATTCAAGTTTCCAATGGGATATGCGTGAGATGCTGGAGGGAGGGCTGGATTTGAACACCTTTAAAATCCTTTCCAGTTCTGTAGACCTTGTTTTTTTAAGGAGGTCTACAGATCTATAAATAATAATGGCTTAGCACTCACTATGTACTAAACATTGTTAATTGCCTTCATTTTACATTTGTTAACTCATTTAATTCTCCTAAATTTAATGAAGGAGGTAATAGATTGTCCTGTTTTACATATGAGAAAGCTGAATCTTGGAGAAGATAAATTGAGGGTCCAAGTTTGCCCAGCTAAGATGGGGAGGACTCGAACACAGACCCACTCTCAGGGTCGGGGGCCATGTCTGTCACAGAGCTGCCTCTCTCCAGCTTTTGTTAGCATGGGTTAAATATTTCCAAGTGTATTCTTCACCCCCACCCTCAGCCCTACATTTTCTTTCTAGTACATAAACAGATGAATAATAAAACATGAGTGATCCCTCCCCAGGGTTGCACACCATCATCACCAGAGGACAGACACCTGGCTCCCGTGGACCCTGGAATCAGAATCGCTGCAAATAGATATTTTGGAAGGGACACTCCAGGAATCCTGCTAGACCTGGTTAGGACTCTGCCCAGGGACCAAGCCAGCTGAATCGATGGTTTCCTTTCTGGTCTGTATTACCTGGTTTTGTTGAATCCTTTTATTAATTCTTTTGTTTTGCTACAATCCTGAAAGTAGACCGACCAACTGCTTGCTTGCAGGAAATTTAAATATTTTGACAGTACAGAAGAGGGGTGCATCTGGAGATTTCTGGACCCAGTTGTAACCAGACTTGCCCTTCCTGAGCAAATTGATTGCTTCCGGTTTCATCACTTCTGTACAGCGACTGACTTCCGGAGCTTAACTCCCCGACAGCCAGGAGGAAGGAGGCAAAAGGAAACCTTTTAATTTATAGTAAGCAGAGATCAGTTTTGTTTTTTGTGGTTTTGGGGGGCTCATTTAAAATACCAGGCCCAGTTGAAACAATAAAATCTTGTTTAGTTTTCCCTTATAAAAAACTTCTCGGGTATTTATCAAAATCCTAGAAAAATACATATTTGTTAACATACTGCAATTCCCACAAGAGGTTAAGTATTTATAAAATTTGCTTTGGGCATTGATGCTACAAGAATATTAAAAAGTATTGACTTCACCACTTAATGAATCCTTTATCAATTAAAAAAAAATTCAGATCACAATAGGTTTGAGAAGCTACAGCAGTAGGAAAACACCTTCGCTTTAAACAAAAGCTATCTTTCTCAGCAAGAATAGAGTTACTAGGGTGGAAAATCAGG